CAGAGGGTCTTCGCAGAATGGGGTCATCTAAGCACAGACCTGTGGGGTGGGCCGGGGGGCTGGGCGGCCAGGCCACATGGGGGCTGTCAGGGCGGCCTCAGCAGGGGGAGGGAGGGGACGTCATTAGATTCGTGTGGCAGAAACACAATCACTTGGGAAATAGCAAAGGATCTTCAGGGAAAAGAGCAGGCTGCAGCAGAATCCCCCCCGCCACCTCAATCCCTATAAGCAGCAAAAAACACTTGGAAAAGTTTAAAAAGCCTATGAAAACAAAATCTCTCTAACAGTAACCAAACCGGAAATGGTGCATCACTGGCCACCACGGAAAGACACGAGACTTGGCAAGGGGGTCTGGGGGCGCAGCCTTAGATCCCAACTGGCCACCCGGAGCCCACCGGGGGCCGTGACCTTCTGCAGGTGAGTCACACGTACATCGGGACAGTCCCCTCTGCCGCCCACACCGGCGGGGGCACGAAACCACGACTCCTGCTCAGAGAGCAGCCGGCCACGTGGAAGCTGCGATGACCGCAGTGACCACTGCGACCACTGCACTGCGACGCTGACGCTGGACGCCCGAGGACGTGTGGCCGGCGAGCGGAACAACGCACGATCTCAACGTCGCTCGGGAGGGAAGCGGACGCGCCCACCGCTGGTCGCTCCAGGCACCGAGACCGCAGCGCGTGCGAGACCCACGCACACCGAACCCGCAGCCTGGGAAGCTGAGCCCCCGCTGCACCAAGCGTCGCTGGGGTTTCAGCGCCAGGTGGGCTGACTGGAACTGGAGCACAGCGCGGAAGTCAGGCTCTCACCTGCTGCCCATCTTGATAGCCGTCTATGCCTAACGTCTGTGCAGCCATCATGGTTGGTGGGTTTTGCGGTGAGACGTCAAATCATCTCGAGTCAGAAACAAATGGAGTCTGCAAAACAAAAGCAGAAAAGCACGCGTTGGTCACTGCGGTGCACGTTTTGTCTCTCACTCCACGGCACCCGTGTAGCTCTTTAAATACGTGTTTCTATACGGAGAGAAACACCTACCCTTAGCGCTCGCTAAAAGCCGCGTCCCACCCGCCATCGCCCACCTACTCGGTGCTGGCGTCCATTCCCGCAGCAGGCCCCGACGCGCGGGCATTTTTCGGCCGTGTCTCACCCAGCACGTGTCTGCGAATGTCCGCACAAGCAGGACACCGTTCGGGGAGGCCCTGCGCTCCCAGGCAGGCGGAGCCAGGAGCAGCGGGCCCACGAGCGGGGGAAGGCCAGGCAGCACACTCGTGTGGTGACGGGTGAGTGACGGGCGCCCCTGCTGTGCGCGTGGCAGGGCAGGCTCTCTGGGAAGCTGCCACTGGCACTGAGACCTCGAGGACCTGACTCAAGGACTGCAGGGACGGGGCTGGGCCTCACACGGGGCGACAGAGGTACTCCCCCAACCTCTGCGTGGAACACAAAGACGGGAACCGTGGCTCGCTCACCTGTCAACACGCACAGGTAAACGTCAGGAGCCAGGCGGGGAACAGAGAATGATGGGGCAGGGCCACTAAAGGCACCTGGGAGAGACACAGGACAGGGAAGGAGTGAGCTGCCTGTCACATCTGGAGGCCGGAGGAGCAGCAGTGGCCACAGGGACACCGCTCTGGCTGAGCGGAGCGGTGGACGTGGGAGACGTGGGCCAGGCCACGCAGACCCCCATGGGCCGCGGTGAAGACGGCGGCACTCGGGCAGGGCCTGAGCAGAAGGGCGACGTGACTTACCTTGGGAGGGTCCCTCTGAGCGTGCGAAGGACACAATGCGTGACGGGGAGACACGGGGGTGGGGTGCTGTGGACAAGCAGGTGTGTGTGGGGTCAGGGAGGGGTCCCGGTTCCCACCTGAGCAAGGGGCCGAGCAGAGCCGCATGTCCGGGCGAGGAGCAGATGGCGAGGAGCAGGTCCTGTGGCCTGGGAGGAGGAAGTGAGTCCGGACATTTCAGTCTTAGGACGCTTCTCAGAAATCTAAGAGGAAATTCTGAACAAACGAGTCTGGGCCGGACATACACTGAGTGACCTAACCTTCGGGGGGTGGTTAGTACATGCAGAGGGTCGAACTGGGTCCTCCGAGACATGCCCGAGCCCTAAGCCCGAGCCCTGCAGATGGGACCGTATCTGGAGCAGGGTCCTCACGGGGGTGGTTATCAAGCACCTCTTGGACTGAGATCGTCCTGGATTGAGGGGAGGCCCTGAATCCTGTGACTGCTGTCCTCTCAGAGGGGGACAGGAAGACCTGAGACACACTGGGGGGACGGCTTTGTGCATCGGAGGCAGAGACGGCAGCGATGCCGCCACGAGCCACGACGCCCAGAGCCACCAGGTGGTGGGCGGCTTGAGCCTTCAGAGCGAGGGTGGTCCCCACACCTTGGTTTCAGGTTCTGGCCACCAGGGCCCTGAGAGAACCTATTCCTGTTGTTTCCATCCACCCGGCCGGTGGGACTTGGTTCTGGCAGCCGCAGGACCCCAAGGCGGTGGTAAAGTCACCAGACTGGGCGAGGCCACCCAGGGAGAGACGCGGATGCCCCGCAGCAGGCTGGGAAGACGGGGCCTGGCGGAGGAGGAGGAGCAGCCGGCGGCCGGAGAGCGGAAGCGAATGATGCCGGCCACGCAGGTGGAGCAGGAGGACCCGGAGGGGCGGGAGCCCTGCTCAGGCGGCCGAGGTGAAGGAGAAGGCTGAGCACCGCCGGGGGCGGGAGCCTGGGCGGCCGGGGCGGAAGGACCCGGCGTGTAGATGGAGATGAAAGCAAAACCATCTCCGTCTCTGCGTGGCTTTCACGCGGGACCCCTGACCAACCTCACTGTCCTTAGTAAGCAGCGAAGCCTTCCAGTTAATGAAGATGCATTCCGCAATACGACCATAAATAGTTGTGTTAATCATGGCCAGGGTGACAACCGAGATGAGCAGCAAACTGGTGACAGTATCGACCAGCAGAAGCTGTGGCCCCTGGTGCTGCGCACGCTTTGTCCGTTTCTCTTGCCCATCACGAGTCCCTCAGCTACGTTATAAAAACGGCACGGTGACAGAAGTAACAGAAGCCTTGCGTGGCGAAGACCCGCCTGCCGCCCCGACGCCATCTTCCCGCAAGGTGCCCTGTGACACGTGCTGTCACACTGCAGGGAGCCGCCTGCCGTCTTCCGGTCTGAAGACACCTCCTCTTCGTGGTGGCCGCCACACCTCCGCCCCGCCGTCAGACCGCAGGCCTCGGCAACGCCGCTGCGGAGACGGGAGCTCACGCGCGGTCACCACGCCGTTGCCCTCTCTGCCCCAGGACCCTCGACCTGGAGACAGAGCCCCACACCCGGGAACCCGTTGCTGCGACTGTCCTGTCTGCCCTGACCGGAACCCGGCCCCCTGCCCTGCCCGGGCAGCGACCCCGGCACCATCGCCCACACCCTGGTCGAGGTGGGGGCTCGGGTGGGCCGCTGGTCAGGCCCACAACCCTCCTTCCCGACCTTTTCAAAGTGCAGCCCTGGCCCAGACCACCCCCGCAGACCAAGTCCAGAGCCACCGCTCCCGCAGCCCCCACTCCAAGTGGACAGGACAGCTGTCTGCAGTACCCCCGGTGGGCCGCGCTCTTGCCCAGCCTGGTGACGCCGCCCCAACGCTCTGGACTTTGTGCACGTCATCACCCACACAGGCCGCCCCAAGGCTCCCCAGTGGCTCGTCCCCACCCAGGGACACCCCTCTCCTGGGCCCCCCTACACCCTATACTCAGCCCCGTGGTATCTCGGCGGTTCATTTCCACTCCATGTTCCCTAAGGAATGACGGTCCGTCCAGCGCAGCCTGATATGCGGCGGGAGCCGGGGCTCTCCGCGGACACCGCGCCGTCGGCCTCAGGGTTCGCGGTGGCTCGCGCGCCCTCTTGTGAAAGAGATGCCACGTCGCCTGTCACACTCTGGGCCGCTGCTCCCCCTGCCACGCATGCGGTGGCCAGATGAAACTGCCAAGCGTCATCACCCACACAGGCCGCCCCAAGGCTCCCCAGTGGCTCGTCCCCACCCAGGGACACCCCTCTCCCGGGCCCCCTACACCCTATACTCAGCCCCGTGGTATCTCGGCGGTTCATTTCCACTCCATGTTCCCTAAGGAATGACGGTCCGTCCAGCGCAGCCTGATATGCGGCGGGAGCCGGGGCTCTCCGCGGACACCGCGCCGTTGGCCTCAGGGTTCGCGGCGGCTCGCGTGCCCTCTTGTGAAAGAGATGCCATGTCGCCCGTCACACTCTGGGCCGCTGCTCCCCCTGCCACGCATGCGGTGGCCAGATGAAACTGCCAAGGCCAGGCTCTGGGTTGGAGCCGGCCTCCGCCTGCAGACAGCAGGACCGCCCTGGCTCCCAGCACCGGCCAGGCAGGCGGGCGCTGGGGGACTGAAGAGGCCCTGTGGGGTGGTCCGAGCCCCCAGTCTACTTATACACACACATGCACGCGCACACGCACCCATGCACACAGATACCTATGTACCCGCGTCATGCACATGCATGCATACACACGTGTGCACACACGCATGCCCACACACGCCCACACGCACGCCTACGCCCACACGCACATGAGTACTCACGCGCACACATGCATGCGCACATACACAAGCACATGTTGTACGCCCAAAGTCACACACATATGCCCACGTATGCACACACGTACTCGCACACACACTCACACCTCCGTGAGTGGAGAGAGCCACCTTCCTTGCTCAGTGACTGCAGCAGTGGGCACTGCACGGCCACGTCTTGGCTGATAAATATCACTCTCAACAGAAAGGTCAGGACTCCTCAGGACGACGGCTCACCTGATTCCAGGGCTGGGTCATGTAAAGTACAAGATGAGCCTGGACTGTGCTCCCAAAATTATGAGGACATGTCAAAAAGACAGAAGAACCAGCTCGCAAGATCTGAGACAATCGGAGCAACAAAGTGTCGTGGCGACTGGGAACACAGCAAGAATCCATCCACAATCCGTCCTGACACGAATACATGAATAAATGCGGGGGGAGCTCCGGGTACAGAAGGGCTCCAACAACAGGTAGAGGAGGACAGAATCCCATTGTCACCGTCTGGCACCCAGCACCGTGACCATGGCGTTGGGCACGAAGCAGCACAGACGTCGATGCTGGCAGTGAAAGCGTGATGGGCAACGGGAAACACACCTGGTCTCGGAAGACCCGTCACGAGACCCTGCTCGTTACGAGCGGAGCCAGTAACTTCACAGTGGAGAGACGGGGCTGGCAGCGCCTTAGCCAAGAGGTAAAAAGTCACATCACTGGTGATGAGACAAAGGAACACGATGGCAGAAAAGAACACAGGACGGAACTTCTGGGCACCCCTGCTCGAGCCTCGGAAACCAAAGGAAAAAGGTGAGGGGTCAAGGGACCGGAGAATGGACACTCAAGGGCGGCGCGCGGTCCCGGATGAAAAGCGAGAGCCGAGAAAGGCAGTTTAGGGAACGGGAGCCGGGGGCACTGGGGACCGCGCGTGACTGACGGTGGGCGACGCCGCACGCTTGCGAAAACGTCTTTGTTCTGCGGAGCGAGGGCCGTGACGGGCAGGGCACGGTCACCGGGTCCACGGTGTACCAAACAAACGGTCAGAGCACACGCACGACTGCACAAACTGGGCGGCCGACGACTGTCAGGGGAGTCACCGTCCTACTGTTTCTGTTTCAAATAACAAATATTAGGGGAAATCGTAACTTTATTTGAGAAACATACAGATGTGCAGCCCTTCCATCAAAACCGGTTAAAACTTCAGTATCTGATATAAATTGGGGCACCTGTCCTAAAGGAAAACTTTGAAATGTGTCAAAACCTTTGAAAACACGTGCTCTCTCCACAATGGAACACTGCGCGAGGAGTTTTTTTTTTTTAAGGCAACTCTATTCCACTAACAGCATTTATTGTTGAGCAAAACACAGGGGCAGACTACCGAGGCTGCCGACATTCCGACGGGACGCCAACGGCGCCGACAAGTGACCAGCAGATGGCGCCGCCCGCCCCGGACAGCTGCGAGCTCCGTGCAGAGGCGGCGGGCCCGCCACCACATGAAGACCCCTCGCAAATGTGTTACTCATAATCTGTGTTACTCATAATCCTTTCCAAATTCTGCTTTCCTGCAAAATGTGACTAGCCACGTCTGGGCAGCACCGCCGACTGGCACCCGCGAGCAGGCAGACAAACAGCTCCCAGCTGGATTCCCACGGTTCCTCCCGGCCCACCTCCCGGGCTTGGAGGGAGGCCTTCTGCTCTGGTCTGGGCCTCCTCCAACAGACGGCGGCCGACGCAGGCCCGAGGGGCGTGGGGGTGACTAGCGAAACTTGCCGTTAACTGGCAAAGGGCTGAAAGTGTCTGACCCCAGGACCACGAACAGCCACAGGCTCGTCTGTGTCGCATTTTAGCAGGTGCTATGTTGAAACCAAAGGCTAACCTGAGATTTAGAAAACATCAATTAATCCCAACGTCTTCCCCCATTACACAAAAAGTAAGTATCTATCATGTTCAAATTCAAACAACAGTGTCTTATCATCATGGGGCTCTAAGATCCTAGGTGAAAAATTTCCCACCCAACGTGTTCATAGTACTATGGTGTTCGAGGGTGACATACAGTTTTTGTCCATTTTATTTCTACAAGTTTCACCCATTAATAAAAGGATATATCATTTATCGAAGCTGTCACTTTGGTACCCTTTCAAAAGTTCCAGCCAGACTGACAAATGAAAAAACACATTCCAATCTTCATGTACAGAAGTGTTAAAACTCACTAGTAACTAAAGAAATAATTTTAAAAATACTTTTTCATCTGGAATGATTAAATTTAGAGCAGTTCTACATGTTGCCAGCAAATATAAGTGGGACTTGGCGCTGTGAAGTCTTCCCTGCTGTGACGAGGCGGTGACTCTGGGCAGGCCCCAGGGGCTAAGA